ATGTGTGTATGTGTACGTGTTGGGGGTGTTTGTGTATGTTTGTGTATGTTTGTGTGTTCATGTGTACACGCGTGTACTTGAGTTGTGTCCACTGAAATGATGCCTGTGGCTGTACATTGGTAGTGCTGGGTTTGTGTCGTTGTGGCTGGCTGTACATGTGGTAGAGTTGTTCGTGGCACTACTCACCGATTGTCTGTGTGGCATAATGCGCATGTGCATGCTCGCTTGCTCGCCTCATGGCGTTGGGTTGTTTGTTTGTTTGATCGACTCTGAACTGGTTCCCTTGCTGACGTGAACGACCAAATGAACACCACTGCTGCTTCAACACGAAGAGTGACACGATGCCAAGGGACGAAGAGGTGGATGTGTTCACAGAAACGAGGTGGCAACCACCATGGGGAGAGAAGCAGGCCAGACAACTCAAGCGACAATGAAAAGCCCAAGCCATCTCAATTGAGACAGTGCAGGCTTCGCTTTGGTGTTTCGACTTTTGCTTGGCTTGCTTTCGCTTGCTTGTGTGTGTTTCGTTCATTCAGTGCCATCCACCGCATACACACGCAACGCCATGGTGCTGCGGGAACAAGATCTATCGGAGAAAGAAGACATGCATCACACCTGAAATAAAACAGCAACACGCGTTCTCTGATGAATGTACCGCATCTACAGACTAACAGAAGCAGAAGTACGACACGTGCATGCATGTCATGTAATGTAATGTGATGTACAGACAGGGTCAATTAAAAATCAAATCAAAGCAGAACAGCAAGTATCACCCACTGTCACGCACTACCATCAACAACCACCCAACACCCATAACCATCACCACCACCACCACCACTACCACCACCACCAAAATCCACCCAGTGAACACTCCCGTCTTTCGTCTCCCCAACTCAAACCCCTGCGGCGACATCACGCCTTTGAGTCCTTGCAGTCGACGCGATCCCACTCCCAGATGGCGCCCTGGTCCAGGAACTCATCATCGATGATGGCAACAGAGACGGCGCGCACGACGCCCGTCTGCTCTCCGTCCACCTCCACCACCGCGCCCTCCCCCTGCGCCTTCTTGTCGCCGTCCTTGTCCTTGTTGTCGTCGACGGCATTGCGGTTGCGCGAGACCCGCCACATCACCACCAGCACAATCAGCCCGCACACCATGAGGAAGCCCGCAGCGCAGGCGATGATGATGAACGCGTCAGACTCAATGAACGTCGCGCTGCCACCGGCCGTCAGGCCAGGCCGCGTGGTTGTTGCGGGCGCCGCCGTCGCCTCCGCTGTTGAAGTTCTTCCTGCCGTGGACGCACCACCACCCGTGCTCTGCGATGCTGCTGTGGTAGTGGTGGTGGTGAGGAGACCGCACACGTCGACCTCGGTGGGCTGCAGCAGAAGGCCGTCCACAAGCACGTGGTTGCCGAGGAAGTTGTCTGTCTCAACGTGGGTGTTGGTGGTGGTGACGGCGACGACGATGTGGGTGGAGACGTTGGTGAAGGTGCCCAGGTACGTGCCGCCCAGGTCTGGGTGCGACTGTGTGCGCTGGTCAACCTTGCGGTCCACGCCGACGGCGACGTCGTTGGCCTGGAAGCTGGTGATGCCGACGGGCACGGCGCTGGCAGCAACGTCGCTCGCCGGGTGCAGCAGGACGACCTTGTAGGTGCCCGGCAGCGGCACGCGCATGGTGAAGGTGACGCTCTTCTCGCCCTTGTCCTGGTCCCTGTCGTCGAGGAAATAGCCGCCCAGATACGCAGAGGACGAGGTCACCTGCAGCGACGCACCATCATCCTCCACGTGCTGCCAGTCGCCCGCAATGCGCACGGAGGCGGTTGTTGGCGCGGCGTCAATGTACCAGTTCTCGTGCTGGCTGTCCAGCGCCGTGTCGCACGCGCTCAAATTGCCCTGCGGACACGTCCGGAAGCACGTGTAGTTGCCTGTCAAGTCGTGGTGCGCGTGTGTGTGAATGTGTGAATGTGTGTGTGTGTGTGTGTGTGTGAATGTGTGTCTGTGTGAGTGACTTGTTGATATGCGACACAGTGTCGCCTCACTACCTCACGTTTCACCACGGCATCATATTTCAGCACACCATGACTGAAGCAGAGCCAATCACACGACGACGACGCACGACGACGCACTCAAACACATGTTCTGAACATGCGCACCGAATGCTGTGCGTTTGACTTACGAGCAGCGGCGGAAGGAGCTGTCAGCAATGCAATCAGCACACTGGCGACAACGGCGGTGGTTGTGGTGAACAGCCATACGCTTCGCATGTTTGTGTTCTGTTGGTGCTGTCTGTTGTGGTTGCTTCAGCTGGCTTGCAGCTCTTGATGTGTCTGTCCGTCACACGTGCGCGACACGGCAACAATGTGAATGTGGCAAGCAAACGGGCTGGCTGGTATGGGCGTCAATGCCAATGCTGATGCTGATGCCAATGCCGATGTCGATGAATGAATGAATGGATGGATGGGTGGATGAATTGGTGGGTGGACGTTGATCGATGGGATGTGGTGTGATGATGAATGGATGGTTTGGCGCGCTGGGTAACTGATGACTGTGTGTGTACGTGTTGAAAGAAAGGGGAAACCGTTGTCGGAGATAGCTGTGTGGTGCTTTGTTGCATTGAAGGTTGGAGTGGTTGGATGAAATGAAGAAATGAAGAAGAAAGGGCAGCAGTGTGTAGATGTGTGCAGGGAGGTGCAAGCAACCAGCAAGCGAGACAGAAAGAACAGTCAGCCAGCGAGACGGTTGGCTGGTTGGTGACGGATGAATGTCAGGAAAACGAGCACGTATTGGTGCTGGTTTCAAGTTGAAGCAACAATTGCTGTCAACCACACACACACACACACATGCAAGCAAGGGGGATTGAGTGAGTGAGTGGGATGGGATGGTTCTCTCTGCTTTGTGGGCATTTGATGTGTTCGCGTGTGTGAATGTGTGGTGGCAACCACACGACCACCACAAAGTCATCAACAAGCAAGCAGCACTCATGTTGTTCGCTTTGCTTGTCTTGCAAGAAGGACTTGCTTTGCATTCAGGCATTCGCTCTTTCGCCACCAGGCAAACATTCCTTCCTGGCTGACGAAACACAAGAGGAAGCGAACAGTGGCGAATATTGGCGATGTTGGGTGGCGTTGTGATAGTGGAAAAATAACAGAAGATGACCATCAACAATCGCAAAACGTGTGTGTGTGTGTGTTTGTGTGTGACGAGTGGCTGGTTGCTCAATCAGTGAGGCAAGTCGTCGTCGTCACTGGCGGCAGCGATGGCGGCGGTGGCAAACAAGAAGCAGGGGAAGGACAGAAGAACAGCAGAGAGAAAAGGAGAGAAGAAGGAGGCAATAGCAGGGAGGCAAGAGTACCACAAAACACAACAAAAACAACAACAAACCCTGCATTCACCTCATCACCTCACAGTTTTATTGCTCTTCTTCCACTCCTCCTTCTTCCTCCTTCTCCTCCTCCTTCTCCTTCATCTTCCTTCTGTCCTCTGTCACCCACGCGCTTGCTTGCTCGCTCGCACGGCGTGTCCTGCTGCCAATCCCTAATCCCAAAACCCCGATCCAACTCCCTCCACCACAATGCCACTGAAGACGCGCATCTTGCTTGTGCGCCACGGCGCCACCGTGCTCACCGCCGAGGACAGGTAAGATCAGGTGTTTTGTGTGTAATTGAGCTGCAATGTGTGCGATCATTTCATTGAGCCACGCTTCGACAGCCCTCTAACGCCCTTTGCTTTGGTTGCGATCGCAGGTTTGCCGGTGCCACGGACGTCCTCCTCAGCGAGACTGGCGAGGTTGGGCGGGCAGGTGCTTGCCTGACCCTGTGTGAAGAGATGTGCTGGCTTGTGTGTGTTGAGGTTGCACCCATGCCATCCTCACGCACACACACACACACACACGCACGCACATTCGCACATACCACACAGCGTCAGGCGGAGGCACTGCAGAAGCGTCTGGCTTCGATGCCGATTGCGGCCGTGTATGCAAGCCCCATGAAGCGCACGGTGAAGACTGCAACCATCATTGCCAAGCCGCACGGCCTTGAGCCCGTCCTGGAGCCAGGCATCAAGGAGATCTCCCACGGCCACTGGGAGGAGATGACCCGCGCAGAGGTTGAAGAAAAACACAACGACGAGTACATCTCCTGGGACTCGGATCCCTTTACCTGTACGTTTTGCACCCCGCAACACTGTCGTGTGATTGTGTGTGTGTGTGTGTGTGTGTCTTGACGTCTTGGGTGTGGTTGTACGGTTGTCTGAAGGCTGGCTCATCTCTTCTGTAGGTTGGCTCATCTCTGCTGTTGTAGGCCGGCTCTTCAGAACGCAATGTGTAGAATTCTTTGTCAAAGCTCAACTTGTGTTGTCACAAAAGTACTCACGGCACACATGACTTCAACATGCCTTTCTTGTTTCTGTCTGTCTTGCCATCCAGACGCCCCACCAGGCGGCGAGAGCGGGCTGGAGGTGCTGTCGCGTGCGCTGCCGCCCATCCGCAAGATTGTGGAGAAGCACGCTGGCGAGACGGTGCTCGTGGTCTCCCACAAGGCCACCATTCGCCTGCTCATCGGCTCCTTCCTCGGCTTTGATCTCCGCCGCTACCGCGGTGAGATTTGATGTGTGTGTTGTGTGTGTGTGTGTGTGTTGTGTGTGTGTGTGTGTGTGCGTGTGTGCGTGCGTGCGTGCGTGCGTGCGTGCGTGAATGTGCGTGCGTCGTCTTGTGTCTGTGTCTGTGTCTGTGCGTGCGTCTGTGTTTGTGCGCGCGTCTGTGTTTGTGCGTGCGTCGTCTTGTGTGTGTGTGTGTAATATCTCAGCCCATCGCCATGCACGATCTCAACTCTCACACGCACGTACGCATGCACGCGCGCGCGCACTGCCATCGCTCAAACCACATTCACAATAGACAACCTGGACCAAAAGCCGTGCTGCCTGAACGTGCTTGACTTCACCGTGGACAAACCCATCAAGGTCTGGCTCTCCTTCATTGTTGATATGCATTGTCTACAACGAGCTGCTTCAGACCTACGTATTGCGCTGACCGCGTGGATTGCTTGTTGTTGCGTCCGTGGATGCACCCTTTTCTACTCACACACACACACACACACACACACACACACACACACACACACACACACACACACACACACACACACACACACACACACACACACACACACACACACACACCGCAGGCGCGGCTGTCGCTGTTCAACGACATTTCGCACTACGACAAAGCGCAGGAGAAGAAGCCGACGGGCGCTCACCTCAGCAAGACCTGGGCCGAATGCAACGACGCCAAGCGAAGCAAGACCACGCAATAACCAACCACCTCGCTGCCCTGCATGCGCACGCGTTACCATCACTCGGTGCACGTCATCTACGACACGCGTGATTGCGTGCATGCAAGCACGGATTGCGCTCTTTCCCTCTCTCCATCCTCCCTTCCACCTTGTTACTGCCCAAACCATGGTCCACAGCCACAGCCACATGTGCGCTCTGTTGCTATGTTACTCCGTGCCATGGCGGCCGTTTGTGCCACGTTCTCCACACCCATCTGTCTCTCTGCGTTGTTGACCTTGATATACATTCAAAACCAAGAAGCAGCTTTTGTACTGTGTAGACAAACAACCAATCAATTTCTGCACCCCTCTTCCCTCTCTCAAGTCCCCGCGCGCAGCCCTTCCTGGAAGTAGTGGAGCACAGCCATCAGCCAAGCAAGTAACAATGGAAGGTCATGAAGAGAACAAGCGCGTGCACAACAACCAAATACACCGCAGCACCCCGTTTGCTGAGCCTTCGATCCGACACCAGGCTGAGGCAGTTCACAAGGCCGGTCGTCACCGTCGCCATGTTTGCAGATGCACCTGCGGTCGAAAACGGGAGCAAGGGCCCCTTCTTCGATGGTGACGACGCAGAGAATGCTGATGAAGTCGAGGGTGAGCCTTTGTTGCCGTTGCTTCCCTCTGATTGCGCAACAGTGACAGTGACGCTATCACGCGAGCCAGCGCCGCCACTTCCGTCACCGCCCTGTTCAAACTGTCGTCGCAACAGTGCCAGTTCCTGTTCTACAGCAGACACGTGGTTGGACTGCTTCAGCATGGATTGCTCCAGCGCAAGCTTCTCACTCGACAGGCGTGATGTCTGCGCCTGCAGCTGCTGCAACTCCTTTGCTGCCGCCTCCTGTGTGCGCAACAGCTGCTGTTGCAGTTGTGCAATGCGCTCACGCGCCTCGTTCACATCGCTCACGGCAGCACCCGCGTCGCCAACCAATCTGCCTGCGTGTTGCATGGCCTCCGCGACCACATTGCTTGCTCCGCTGGCATCATCACCTTTTCCTGATGCTGCTGCTGCTGTTGATGTTGTGGCAACGTCTGTGGATGGTTGGTCGCCCTCCAGCGAGATGGACACCATGGACGCATCAAGACTGCCCAGCTCATCACCACCTTCCTCGTCTTGTTGTTGTTGTTGTTGTTGTTGTTGTTGTTGTTGTTGTTGTTGTTGTTGTTGTTGTTGTTGTTGTTGTTGTTGTTGTTGTTGTTGTTGCTGTTGTTGTTCTTGTTGTTGTTGTTCTTGTTGTTGTTGTTCTTGTTGTTGTTCTTGTTCTTGTTGTTGTTCTTGTTGTTGTTGTTGCTGCTTCGTCACCTCCACCTCTTCCTTGAGCGTCACCACCTGTGCTGCTGCTGCCGCCGCCTCCTCCCGGGCCTCAGCCAGCGCCTGCGACTGCTCCGCCATCTGCGCCTCCACCGCGCGTGCGTGCAACTGGCTCTCCTCCAGTGATCGCATCAGATCAGCAGACTCCGTCTCAAGCAGCTGGCACCTGCCGATTGTGAGTGAGTGAGTGAGTGAGTGAGTGAGTGAGTGAGTGAGTGAGTGAGTGAGTGAGTGAGTGAGTGAGTGAGTGAGTGAGTGAGTGAGTGAGTGAGTGAGTGAGTGAGTGAGTGAGTGAGTGAGTGAGTGTGAGTGAGTGAGTGTGAGTGAGTGTGAGTGAGTGAGTGAGTGAGTGAGTGACAGGGGAGTACAACACAGTTTCCAAGCCATCATCATCGTCGTCACCACCACCGTGTGCACACCTGGACTGAGCATCCTCCAGTTCGCTCTGTATGGCGGAAAGCTTGGATTCATACTCCAGCCGGCACTTGTCCATCTCCTGCCGGTGCGTGTCGCGAAGTTGCGTAATGGAGTCGAAGTTGGTCGTGTGCTCGCTCTCCATATGTTGCAACCGCACATGCAACGTCTCAATCTGCTTCTCCGCCGCTTGCAGCTGCTCCGTCTTCGTGCTGGCATGGCGTCAAGCAAGTGCACATACACGTGAGTGGATGTGTGTGCAGATGCGTGTGTGTGCAGATGCGCGCGCGCGCGCGTGTGTGTGTGTGTGTGTGTGTGTGTGTGTGTGTGTGTGTGTGTGTGTGTGTGTGTGTGTGTGTGTGTGTGTGTGTGTGTGTGTGTGTGTGTGTGACCGTGTGTGATCGTGTGTGTGTGTGTGAGTGATCGTGTGCGCGAGGATGCGAGTGTGCATGTGCAAGTAACAGCAGGTTCATAGAACTCCAAACACACACACACATGCACACACGCACGCACACACAAACAAAGGTCGAAGAGCAGACATGCGAATGTGCAAGCATGCAAGATGCACACCTTGAGTTGCTGTTGGCATGCGCTGAGCTGTTCGCTCGTTGTCTCGTGCTGTTTGCAGCGCTCATTCAGCTCCTCCTGAAGCTCCCGCACAACACCCTGATGATGCGCATGGCGAAAATGGATGACAGTCGTGCACACACGCGCGCGCACAATGATGTGCGATGAACATACCTCACGCACACAGATGTATGCACACATACACAGATGCACACATCACATACACATGCACTCACACACACACACACACACACACACACACACACACACACACACACACACACACACACACACACACACACACACACACACACACACACACACACACACACACACACACACACACACACGAGCGCACCTGGAACTCGTCCTGTGCTTCCAAGTCCTTGGATGCAAACTGCTTTCTGAGACGACTGATTTCAGTGTGCAGGTCCGTGCACTGCGCCCGCAGCGCTTCCGTTTCCTCCTGCTTCTCCACAGATGACGTCTGCATTTGCTCGTTGACCATCGCCGCCTCTTGCTGCAGGCGTGCCACTTCCTTCTCCTGTGCAGCCAGCTGTGTCTGCAGTTGCGTGCGCTCGGCTTGCAACGCATCCACTTCCTCCGTCGCCAATTGCAGGCGCGTTTGCAGATCATTGCGTTGCGCCTCCAAAGCGGACACGGCATCCTGCGCTGACGCCAGCTCTCCAGCCATGTTCGCCTGTGTGCGCGCAAGGTTGTCCTCTTGTTGCCGCCGAAGTGACAGCTCCTCCCTCGCTGCCTCAAGCTGTTGCTGCAGCTCTTGCACTTGCTCTGCCTGTGTGCTTCCTGCTTGTTCCACGGATGCACGCAGTCGTTGCACCTCCTCGTCCTTCGCCTTCACCTCTTCCTTCATCGTTTCAACCTCCTCCCGCGCTGCATCGAGCTCGCGTGCCGTTTCCTCTGTGCGCAGCTGCAGTCGTTGCACCTCCTCTGCGTGCGCCTGCGTCGCCTCCTCAAACGTGCGCGCGGCCACCTCCTTTGCCACGTGCTCCATCATTTCGTCCTGCTTCTGCTGGAGCTCGTCAATGCGCAGCTCTCGCTCCTCCAGCTGACTCTGCAGCCGCCGCACCTCGTCACCACTTTCATCCTCTTCTTGTTGCTGTTGCTGCTGTGGCTGCTGCGGTGTCTCTTGGTCTGGCTTCTTTTCTTCTTCCTTTTCTTGCTTCTCTTCGTTTTGCTGCTGCTGCTGCTGCTGCCGTTGCTCGCTCTCCTTTAGCTGCTGCTGCAGCGTGTCCACTTGCTCCTGCAACTTCATGCTGTCGTCTTCCAGCGTTTCAATCGTTGTTGTCGCCTCTGTCAACTCCGCAGCAAGCGCGTCGCGTTCCTCCCTCATCTGCGCGTGTGTGGTGTCAAGCGCCGCGTGTGTTTGCTGCAGGGACGACAGCTCGCGCTGCAGCTCCTCCCGCTCAAGATTAACTTCCCTCAGCCGGGATTCGGTGGTGGTATAACGCTCTGCGAGCGCGGTCATCTCTGTGCGCTGCTCGCTCAGCTGCTCTGCACGGGTTTGGTCGAGCTCACGCATCGCAGAGAGCTCAGCCTCCAGCCTGGCGACCTCTTGCTGCAGCTGCTGCATCTTTTGCTCTTGCTCCTGCTGCGCCTCGAGCTCTGCTGCTTCCTGCGTCCCTGCGGCAACATCGTCATTCTGCTGCTGTTGCTGGACCATGGCGGGTTGTTTGCGTGCATCTGTGAGCTCGGCCTGCAGCGCACTGCACTGTTGTGTCAGTTCTGCGTTCTTTGCCTTGAGTGCCTCCACCTCTGCCTCCACCGCTGCAATGGATGGTGACAATGACGATGATGATGACGGTGTTGCTGGTGGCGTCGCTGTCTCGGACGTGGACTCGCGACTCGACGCAGCCGTGCTGCCCCTGATTGTGGTGGTGGTGGTGGTGTGAATAACGGGGGATATTGATGAGAAAGCGACTCGGGATGCAAGGAACCGTCCGTGAGTCTCGCGACAAACAAACAAACACACACACACACACACACACACACACACACACACACACACACACACACACACACACACACACACACACACACATACAAGGAAAGGACTGACTTGAGCCTCTGTTCGAGCGCTGCAATTTTCGCCTTTGCCTGGGATTTGAGGCGGATCAGCTTGCGATCGTGCCTGCAGGCAAACCAGACCGGTGTAGCAGCAGGACACGAAAATGAATTATTGCCACGCAGCGAGACAAGTGTTCCAGCCATTGGTTGGTAATTCGTGCTCTTGCTATTGGCAATCGCGATCATTCGTGTGTGGTTCATTGGGTCGGCGTGCGTTCTGCGCTCCACACTTACTCTTTCTGCTGACTTTCAAGGGCCTCATCCTTCTCTTTGAGCTGCGCCTCAAGCCCTGTACACATACACAGCAGCACAAACAAATGCAAAAGCGAGGGCGCATAGAGATGAGGTACGATACAGCAGTACTAACAGGAATTGTGGTGTGCATGCACGTCTGTGTGGCTGTGGATTTGTGTGTGTGTGTGTGCATGCGTCCTGTGCGCAGTGCAACACGCTGTAGCTGGTTGAAGCACGTTGCTCACCCTTGATGGTCTGTTGCATGCGGATGATGGCCTTGTTCTGCGCCTCGTGTTCGTCCTCCAGTGCCTTCATCTGATCGCTCTGGTCGCTGCACGTCGCAACCGTCACCTGAACACACGCGCATATACACAGCAAGTGAATGACTGAGTGAGTGAGCAAGACACTAAGTGGATGAGTAAGACAGTGGGTGAGTCAGTGAGTGAGTCAGTGAGTCAGTAGGTGAGTGAGTCTGGGTGGGTGAGTAAGACACACGAACACACAAAGACACGCATACATTGGCACAGCAACCACATTGCCGTGTTGTGGTGTTGTGAGCACGCACCTCGCATTCATTGAGGACGTCCTCGATTGCTTGTGCAACCTGCAGCCGTGTTTAGTGAAAGGAAGTGAGACAACAAGGGCGAGCCGCTTGGTTAGCAAAGGGACACGTCAAACAGGAAGACAGGTTTAGCACACGCAAACAAGCTCACGCATGGCACACCCACATATACCCACACGCACACACGCACACACATACACACACACACACTCACACACACACACTCTCTCTCACTCACTCACTCACTCACTCACTCACTCACATACATACACTCACTCACTCACATACACTCACTCACTCACTCACTCACTCACTCACTCACTCACTCACTCACTCACATACACTCACTCACTCACATACACACACGTACCTCGCCCTTGAGGCGAGAGAGCGTGCGGCGAGAGTTCATGGAGAGGCCGAGGGCGCGCTGCCATTCTCGCAGCTTCTGGGACGGCAACTGGTATCCTGATGCCTGCATCAACGAAGACCAAACAGAAATAGCAGCGCACAACCGAGGCAATAACAAGTCAGTTTGCTGGCAGGGTTCAGACGGGCATGCGGGACACGCACTTCAACAAACACCACACAGATGTTGACACCTTGGTCTTCACCTCTTCCGGGACGGCGCGCGACGCCAGCGTTGCCTGCAGTTGCTGCTGCTGCGGTTGTCGATGTGCTTGAGTCCTAGTCGGATTGGCAGGGGCCGGTGGCTCAGCGCTACACCAGCACAAGAGTGCGAAGCGAGAGAGACAGACAGACAGACAGAGAGAGAGAGAGAGACAGAGAGAGAGACAGAGACAGAGAGAATCGAGGGAGAAGGGAGACAACGCAAGGATTGGTGTGAGCTGTGCAGGAGGAGGGAAAATGTAGATGTCAGCGAACGCACTCACAAAGGCATGAAATGTGTACACATGCCACGCTCGTCAAGCGCGTCGCCCACCCTTGTAGCGGCTGCTCCTCGGCCGCATTTGTCTCCAGCACGTCGTCCAGGCGATCCTACATCAAACAGGAAGCGGCACAACCACAGTAGCGACACAAATGCATGTCAAAAGCACGCCAAGCCGTGCAACACACAACAAAAGAAGAGCACACATGCTGGCAAACCTGAATGAACCACAACAGCACACACACTACACATTCGTACACGCACCTGGACGGAGTCAAGGGCCTTGTTGAAAGCCGACCACATGCTTGTGGAGTGCGACTCAACCTCCTTCCCTCTCTTCTGTCTTCTCTGCTGTAGTCTCTCTCTGCTGTAGTCTCTCTCTGCTGTAGTCTCTCTTCTCCGTCTTCTCTTTCCAAGCTCTGCTGGGTGTCAACAGCAACACCACAACACACGGTGCAAACACCCACAGCCAAGCCGAGTTGCTGTGTTGCTGTGTTGGCGGTTGCTCCTTCTTTGCTGTCAGCGCATTCGCTGAGATTTGCCAATTGCAGCACTTCAACTTCCAAGCAAGGCAGTTTGCGCTTTGCAGGCTGGGTACGGGAAAGTCAGCTAAATCTTCCGTGTTTTCGCTTTGGCCAAGGCAAGAATAAAAAAAAATACGCCAAGCAGCGAGCCAGCACAGTGAAAGCAATCAACCCAAGAAGCGAAGCCAAACAGCACTCGCACACAACAACAGCAGACGTCAGCTTGTGCTTGTGTGCTGGTGTTGTTGTTTTGTTGTTTGGAACTCGCTCGCTTACTCGCTCGCTCGTCGCTCTCTTGCTTCGCGCGCGCGTGTGTGTGTGTGTGCGTGAGACACGATATCAGCACCTCGCGTGTGAACAAGCCTCGACGACCACGGTTGTTCTTGGGACCAGCAACTCTCCGTCTCACCAAACCAGGTCGGCTCTTTGTCAGTGGTTCTTTCCTTCCTCCTGCTTGTGCCTTGGTTCCTTTGCCGTCAGCTTCTGGTTTTTGTCTGTTGTTGTCTGTGCGTCGCCCGTTTTGGTGCACACTGCTCCAAAAAGGAAAAGCATGGGCGCTTTCGTCTGAGGTGTATGTCCTTGCCTTTCCCCTCTGTGGGTCTTTCGTGCACCAGCACTATCCTTCACCCAGCTCAAGGCGTGCTCGTGTTCGTGTTCGTGTTCGTGTTCGTGTTCGTGTTCGTGTTCGTGTTCATGCGTGTGCTTGCCAACAGTGTCGCCAGCAACCACACAGCCATGTCACTGACGGCGAGCTCGCACCGCACGTCGATCGTGGAGCGCACTGCGCTGGTGGACTCCATGCACCGCGCAGAATCCCTCAAGCGCTCCAACCAGGCCATGCGGGATCGCATCATGGAGGTGTGTCTGAATTGAAGCTCAGAATGCTCGCCTGCTGTAGTGCCGTGGCGTTTTGGTAGCTTTGAAGCGCAATATCTACTGTGCACTGCACGCAGTACATGCGACACACACATGTGTGTTGCATTGGGTACCCACACGCAACACACACACACACACACACAACACACGTGCGTAAACTCGACGCAGCTCCGCAATGCTTTGCGCACGGAGCAGAAGCAGTCGCAGCAGGCGCACAAGGAAAAAGTTGCCGCTGTCCACGAGACACGGCAGCTATCTGAGATGGAGCAAAACCAGCGCCTGCTGCAGCAGGAGACGAAGCTGCTGAAGGAGCGCGCGCAGGAGATCAAGCGGCTGAAGGAAGACCTGGAGCGCAAGCGCCAGCGCGAGGTTGAGGAGATTATCCGGCAACGCGACGAGGCCGAGGCAGCCCGCCACCGCCAGATGCAGCAGGAGCGCCTCGAGGCCGAGAATGCCCTTCGCGAGGAGGTCAAGAAGGAGACAGCAGCGGTGCGTTGCCTTGGCGTCGTTGTGTGTGCGCGCGCGTGTGTGTTTGGTTTGCGTCTGTGTGTGTGTATGTTTCTGGTTTGGCGTTTGTCCGCCCATCTGCATGCCTGTTTGCCTGTCTGTGGTTCTCTATTCTATTCCCTACTACCTCAGCGGCTGCATTTTCTCATACGTTGTGGTGATGATGATGATGACATGTTGCTGCCGTCGCCTCTGTGTAGGAGGTTGAGTCACGTCTTGGCGGCGAGATTTCCTCTCTCCAGCGCGCTCTGCTCGACACAGAACAGCAGCTCGCACGGGTTAGACGCCGCGCATGCTCGGGATCTGTGTGTGTGTGTGTGTGTGTGCGTGCGTGTGTGCTGGGTGATATGCTGTGCTTTTGTAGGCATGGCGCGAACCTATGCGTGCTGGTGATGAGTTGTCTGTCAAACAATCACACGCGCGCACACAACCAATTATGTACCAACTCTCACAACACACAACACACACTCAAAAACACTGTGTGCAGCTTGAGCGGCTGTATGACGCCAAGTGCAAGCACGACGCGGAGAAGGCGGAGCAGATCAAGGACCTGCGGCAGCAGCACCTGGAGGAGCTCAACAAGATCCGCAAGGACAATAACGCCTCCCTCAAGAACGAGGTGACGATGGTGGTGGTGGTGGTTAGGGCGGTGATCACAATATATGGTGGTCGTGGCCGTTGCTATGATGGCCGCGGTTATCCCATTGCCTGACTCCTGTCGTCCTTCACGTGCATGTGGATCCGTGCGTATGTGTGTGTGTGTGTGTGTGTGTGTGTGTGTGTGTGTACACAGATGTCTGAGTTTCGGCAAAAGGAGCGGGAGATTCGGGATCTGCAGACGGAGCTCTCGGCGTTGCGCCGCAACTACGACCGCCTCTCAGCAGAGAAGGTGCGCCATATACGCAAGTCCTGTGTGTATGTGTGTTTAGGGGGAGGGGCGGGAGTTCGAGACAAAGGCAATGGGGGGGGGAGAGGTTGAGGGCTATACTTACATACTGCACACACATACACACACATGCACCCATGCGCAACCGCTTGTAGAGCCGGGTTGAGGAGGACATGCAGCGGTACAAGACGGCGGATTCGCTGAGCAAGCGCACGCCAAAGAAGCTCATGCCTGCCATTGGGCAGTACGACCCAGCCAACCACGGGCCCGACCCGACTGTCAAGCGCGCCCGCACCCCGAGCAAGGCGGATGCGGCCGAGCTGCGGAAGCTCAAGGCCAAGGCCGGCGACCAGGCGCGGGACATTCGCCGCCTCAACGCGCGCGTGCACGAGCTTGAGGCGCTGCTGGAGAAGCAGCGGGCAGAGGCGGCGGTGGCGGCGGTGTCGCCCGCCAAGTCCACGGCAGCGAGCCCGGGCAAGAACGTGGAGGACCTGACACGCAAGGTGCGCAACCTGACCAACCAGCTGCGGCGGGACAAGCAGCAGCTCAAGGACCTGCAGTCCGAAAACTTCAAGTTGAAGAACAAGAACGATGCCGTGAACCAGGAGCTGCAGAAGACGCGCCAGCTCTTGCAAAAGGCGGAGTCGAGCGCACGTGCACTAAGAGGTGAGCTGTGCGTGCACTATGGAGCATCATTCCTGTGTCGTGTGTCGTTTGGCTTGCCGTGTAGTGTAGTGTCGTGGTACTTGTGTTTTCATGTGGTTCTGCGTGGATCAGCAGTCTGATGTGCATGCGTGTTTTGTTTTGTTTTGCTTTACCTTTTTTTTCCCTTCGCGATCGCTCATGCTCTCGGTTGCTCTCGCTCACTTTCGGTTGTTTGCCTGTGTTGTGTACACGTCACAGCCAAGAAGACACAGATTCCCACGCCAACGAAGCCGCAGCCCGAGGACAAGCGCCTCGAGGTGCCGTTCATGCTGCTGCTGCTGATTGTGTGGTTCTTGTTCTTGTTGTTCTTGGTGCAGTGCTTTGTTTCTGCAGCTGTTTGTGTGCTTCCTTTTGTGCTCACACACACACACACACACACACCACCATCATCACCACCACCACCACCACCACGACGACAGCGGCGGGTTGCTGAGCTTGAGCGGATGTTGAGCGAGCGCACGGAGCAGGTTGACTCGCTTCGTCGCTCCAAGTCCAAGGCCGACACGGACAACAAGCGTCTCGCCTCCCGCGCAGAGGCGGCTGAGAACAAGGCCAAGCAGTACGTCACCTCGTGTGTGTGTGTGTGTGCGTGTGTATGTGTGTATGTGTTTGATGTGTGTGTGAAAATGTTGAACGCGCATGCGTTTGACATTCGCTGCTTTCCCACCACCACCACCACCACCACCACCACCACCACCACCATCACTTCTTTGTTCACCCTCCGGGTACGTCATGCAACCCTCAACCCCCCTTCTCCAATGTGTCTCGCGTGTGGTCAGGGCTGAGACATCTGCGGCCAAGGCGATGAAGCAGCTTGAGAGCATGAAGGCGGCTGCGGAAACGAGCGCAGCGCGGCGGGCAGAGGCGACGGACCTCAAGGCCATGATTCGTTCCCACGAGGACACCATCAGGCAGCTCAACAGGGAGCTCCTCAAGGTACGCACCTAGCTCATCGCCCTTGGCAGTTGTTGGGGCTGCACGCTGTGGTGGTGGTGGTGGTGGTGTTGTGGTGTATCGCGTTGTATGTTGAGGCATCGATATGCGGCAGGCTTATTCCCGTTGATGGCCGACTGCCTGTTTTCCTGTTTTCCTGTTTTCTTGCTTGGTGTTGTTTCCTCTCGCCGCGTTCACATTCGTGTTCGTGATGGCCGTCCACAATGCGTGTGTTCACCTCCCTATATAATTTTTTTGGTATTGCGTTGCTTGCGTCCTTGGGTGTGTGCAGGCGCAGCAGCAGTTTACGCAGCTTGCGCGGGCCAACCCGGCCAACAGCGCAGCCATTGTTGACCTCCAGTCCAAATACGACGCCCTCAGGGCGACCGTCGACATGGTGCGTTACACGTACACATGCGTGGAGTGCTTGTGTGTGTGCAATTCCTGTCCTAATGTTCATCAGAGCGTGCGCGTGTGAATGCTCAGTCGGTGCCATTCACAACCTCACCTTGCTTCCCCCCCCCCCCCTCAATGCTCGCTCCAACCGCTTGCAGGATGCTGACACCGCAACGCTGGCGACGCGCAATGCGGAACTGTCTGCGGATGTGTCGCGGCTGCAGGAGCAGGCGGCGGCCGTTGCGCCACTGAAGCAGCAGAACGAGGCGCTCACCGCACAGGTCGCAGACCTCAAGGTGCGCAAACCACACACTGGCTTGTGCTGTGGTGGGGATGAGTGCGCTGCTTTCTGGGCTTCAACGCGTTGCGCACACGCACGCACAGACTCAGCTCTCCACCCAGTTGCTCACTCACCAAACACCCACCCTCACCAAACACCCACACACAACATACAAACACACAATATACACACACAACGCGCAACACACTCCCCCCCCCCCCCAACAGGCGACAGTTGAGCAGCTTGAAGAGGCTGTGGAGGAGGCGCAGCAGGGCGCGAGCCAGCAGGAGACGGTGACAGCACTGGAGGCGAAGGTTGCGGCGCTTGAGGATGAGGTGGCCGCACTGAACGGCGACCTTGCCGCTGCTGAGACAAAGGCCAGCGAAGACAGGCAGCAGGCTCAGGACACCCTTGCACAGGTGCGCTCACATGGCGTGTGTGCGTGTGTGTGCGTGTGCGTGTGTGTGTGTGTGTGTGTGCAATTGTGGTCGCTGCATATCCAGCCTCAGTCGGCGACAACTACTCGCAACAACCCTTCCATTCGTCTGCTGTTTAACTTCCCTCCAATCCCCCTTACGCATTAACCCTCACCCTCACCGCCCCCCCCCCCAACGTCCCGTCTCCCCTTCTGTGTACAGACTGAGGCCCGCCTGCGTGACGAAATTGCATCGCTGGAGGAGCAGCTGCAGAGCGCAGAGTCTGAACGCGCGGCCGCACACACGCGCGCCGACGACGCCCAACAGGAGGCAGACACGCTTCGCTCGCAGCTTGAGGACATGCAGGCTGCCCTCAACAAGGCTGAGGCAGACAAGGCCGAGGCTGTTGCTGCTGCCGGCGCTGTCTCACCAACGGTGGAAGAGGCACCCGTGAGCCCGACGCACAGGGATGAGACGGCTGCAGCTGCCGTTGCTGCTGCACGCGCCCGTCGCGGCTCCAAGCTGAAGCAAGGTACACCATTCAGCAGTTCTCAAGCAAGGGTTGCCTGTGTGATTGTGTGTGTGTCTGGCTGTCTGTCCGTCCGTCTGTGCTATTGCGCGCCTGTGAGCTGCCTCTATCTGTGCGCGGAGGAAGGGTTCGCAGCATTGCTGTCGTGCCGTCATCTCAGCAGACGATATTTTGCTCATTCCCATCCTTCCCTTCTTGCTTTGGTCATGGTGGACATGGTTGTGCAGACAAAGCACAGCTTGAGGCCCGTAAGCGGGAGGAGGAAGAGAAGCGCAAGCGGGAAGAGGAAGAGGAGGCCGAGCTCCTTCGCAAGGAGAAGGAGGAGCAAGACCGCCTGCAACGCGAGCGCGAGGAGGAAGAAGAACAACAGCGCAAGCGTGAGGAGGAAGAGGCAAAGGCCGAAGCTGAGCGCCTGCAGAGGGAGAAGGAAGAGGAGGAGGAGAGGTTGCAGCGTGAACGTGAGGAAGAGGAGAAGCGCAAGCGTCAAGAAGAAGAAGCAAGGGCCGAAGCTGAGCGCCTCCGCAAGGAAAAGGAGGAGGAGGAAGAGAGGCTTCAGAAGGAGAAGGAAGAGGAGGAGAGGCTTGCACGTGAACGTGAGGCAGAGGAAGCCCGTAAGCGGGAAGAGGAAGAGAAGCGGAAGCGGGAAGAGGAAGAGGAGGCTGAGCGCCTTCGCAAGGAGAAGGAGGAGCAAGACCGCCTGCAACGCGAGCGCGAGGAGGAAGAAGAGAGGCTCAAGCGTGAGGAGGAAGAGGCAAAGGCCGAAGCTGAGCGCCTGCAGAGGGAGAAGGAAGAGGAGGAGAGGCTTGAGAGGGAGAAGGAAGAGGCCGAACGCATTCAAAAGGAGAAGGATGAGCAGGAGCGACTTGCACGTGAGCGCGAGGAGCAAGAACAGCGCAAGCGCGAGGAGGAAGAAGAACAGCGCAAACGGGACGAGGAAGAGGAGGTCGTGGAACCCCTGCAGCTGCCGCCCGCGTCGCAGCGCCCGAACATGTTTTGGCGCGCGCTGTACGACTACGACCCGCTTGTGAGCTCGCCCAACGACTTTGGGGCGGACGAGGAGCTGACGCTCATTGCCGGCACCATCATCGGCACGTTTGGGGAGATGGACGAGGATGGGTTTTACATTGGCGAGAACGAGGACGGGCAGCGCGGGCTTGTTCCCTCCAACTTCCTTGGCGAGCTGACACCTGAGGAGGAGGAGGAGGCGCGCGCGCTCATGGGGGAGGAAGCGGCCGCCACGGGCTCTGCAGCCGTTAACGAGGCAATGCAGACCGGTGAAGAGAAAGAAGGCGAGGGCGAGGCGAAGGCAGATGCACTGCTGCCCCCTGATGAGCTGGCACTGAGCGACCTCCGCCCCGACTGCGCCGTGGTGACGTGGAAGCTTCCGCTCAACCTCAACCCCGTGGACCACTATGTCGTGCAGATGAACGACCAGCACGTGGCGGAGATTGTGGACCCCACGTGCACGATTGCCCAGATTGAGGAGGCGTACCAGCCCGGCGAGACGTACACGGTGCAGGTTGTCTCTGTTGGCTACGAGGGCGAAAAGTCGGAGCCCTCTCGCCCGCTCACGTTCATCTGCCCCACACCCGAGGCGCAGGCCGATGCCGGGGTGTCGCTCGCGGAGGCGGCAGCGGAGGGCCAGCAACCTGTGCGGCTGTTTGTTGCACTGTACGACTACGACCCGGAGACCATGTCGCCAAACGACGCATTTGAGGACGAGCTTGAGCTGAAGGAGGGCATGGTGATCAAGGTGCTGGGCGATGTGGGTGAGGACGGCTTCTTCCTTGCAGAGCACAACGGCCGCCAGGGTCTTGTTCCCTCCAACTTTGTTGAGGAGCTCAACCCAGAGACTGTCTCCGAATTCACAGACGTGCGTTCTGCATGTAATTGTGCATGCATGCGTGTGTGTGTGTGTATGTGTGTATGTGTGAGTGAGTATGTGTGTGTGTGTGTATGTGTGTGTGTGTATGTGTGTGTGTGTGTGTGTGTGTGTGTGTGTGGTCACGATCATGCTTATCTGCTTATTTCTCTGCGTTTGGTTTTGCCTGCGGGTCAGACTGCGGACTTTGTGAGCCAGGCCGACAGCGCAGACGTGCAGGAGGCCGAGGATGAGCCAGAAAGTGAGTTACCCTCGCAGTGTGTGTGTGTGTATGTGTGTGTGTGTGTGTGTGTGTCGGAATGGCTTGTCGCACCGTGCACCCACCAGGACGACTGACACGTGACTGCCCCCCGTTCTTCGTCTGTCCTTCTCTCCCCTTCTCTGCCTTTCCAGCTGCACTGCAGGCGGATGTTGGCGTTGGCACGCTCGTGCGCGCCCTCTACGACTACTTGCCCGAAGAGCTCTCGCCCAACGATGACATTGTACGATGCCGTGAAACCTCTGTGTGCGTGTGTTTATGTGTGTGTGTGTGTGTGTGTGTGTGTGTGTGTGTGCGTGCGTGACCATGCTCTTGATTTCATCCTGTTCACATTCGCCTGGTGTGATGACTCTTCACCCCCGTCTGCTAACATCTTCCAAATAGGCCGAGGAGCTGTCTTTCCACATGCACGATCTCATGCGTGTCGTTGAGCCTCGTGACGACGACGGCTTCTTCAAGGTGCGCTGTTGTCTGTGTGCCTGGTTGTGCAAGCGTTGCACATGTGGTGGTGGTGGTGGTGGTGGTGGTGGTGGTGGTGGTGGTGGTGGTGCTTTCCTTCTTCTTCAGTACCAGTCATCTGTACTATGTTCCCTTGTGCATTCGCATACTCCCGTGTACGCACATGCACACACACACACACACACATACATACATTGCAGTGCGAGCACATCCAGTCTGCGCGCCAGGGGTATGTGCCAGGCAACTTCATTGCGCCCGTGCCTGAGGAGGAGCTTGAGGCCGCCAACAACACGACTGCCGCCTCCTCCGCTGCTCAGGGGAACAGCGCTGCACACGCAGGCAGCACAGCCAGCAGCACCACCTCCTCCACAAAGAAGAAGGGCTTCTTCAAGGTCTTCTCCAAGCGTTAGCTGAGGCAGTGTCAAGAAGTCGTGGCTGTCGTGGCATTTTCCATCTTTGTTGGCTCGGGATGCCTGCAAGCACGACAATCCACGGCCGTTGATGTGTGTGTGTGTTTGCGAGTGCTTGCTTTGTGTGTGAGTGCTTTCTTTGTGTGTTGTGTGTTTGGGTTTGTTCACGCGCATATGTGTGGGAGTGTGTGGCTCCATTTTGTGTTTTATTCCAGCCAGTTAGCGCCTCTCTCATCCCCAGCTGCCACCGCTCCCGTGTTGTGGCTGTATGTGTGTGTGTGTGTGTGTGTGTGTGTGTGTGTGTGTGTGTGTGTGTGTGTGTGCGGATGCGCCTGATTTATGCGTGCATGTGTATTGTGTATGTGTGTGTGTGAATGACCTGCTTTTCAACTGCATGCACTGATCCCTTTCGCGTGAGATATCTTGGGCTTCCCCTTTATGTGTGTGTGTGTGTGTGTGTGTGTTTTGCGTTGTTGTGTGCCACACCCTTCTCAGAGATACCCATTGCGTCAACACCATCAACAAAGACACGAAAGCGCACAGGGGCAGCCAAAGTGGCGAGGGGAAGGAAGGAGGAGAGAGCGCACGAGCATGCATTGGATTGAGGTGAGTAGTGCATGACGACGCGACAACAAATAAAAGAGGAGTGTCGTGGTGCCTTGAGGAATTGCGTCAGTTGTGATTGTTCCTTTCGCCACTGGCAACCAACGACCATGACGATGAGAATCGTGAGAGGCTGTGGTGCTGGACGTGCCGTGGTGTCGGCATCAGCGGCGGCGTTGGTGGCGGGCGTGCTTCTGGTTGCTGTGGGCGGACCGCTTGCGTGTGAGGCTGCGAGGAACACGACGCTGCTGCGCCATTGCGATGAGCTGTATGCAGGCTGGCGCCCAATCCGGTCAGGCGATCAGTGCAGTGTGTGTGTGTGTGTGTATGTGTGTGTGTGTGTATGTGTGTGTGTGTGTGTGTGTGTGTGTGTGTGTGTGTGTGTGTGTGTGTGTGATCTGTGTGTGTGCGTCGTGTGGTTCAATTGTTTATTGCCGCCTGACTTGTACTCACACGCGTGCAATCACTGGGCTCATCAACGCGTGTCTTCTTGTTGTTGTCGTGCGGATAGATCTGATGCGCTCGGGGTGCTGCTGCCGCACCAACAGTTCATCTACTTGCAGAATGGGCAGCGCGTGCCGGTAAGAAGCAGGGTGTATTGTCTCGTCTCTTTTCAATGCAGCCGTGCTCCTTTTGTGCGATCACGTTCACACACACACACACACACACACACACACACACACACACACACACACACACACACACACACACACACACACACACACACACACACACACACACACACACACACACACACACACACACACACACACAAACACACGCACACACAACTGACCGCCAAGGAAGACGCATTCGAGCGGGTGACGCGTTGGCTTTGAGAAGAACAGGCGGCCAACGAATGTGGAGATGAAGGGGAGGGTGAGACTGCCAATGACAATCTGAAGAAAATCAAAGGGGCGGAGCTGGCGGTGTGGGTATAGTTCGTCTTCAATCTCCCACAACACATCCTCATCCTCAAACACATCATCATCGTCGTCATCATCATCCTCATCATCCTCATCAGCGTCATCTGAGTCTTCGTCTCCAACATTGTGTAGCCTGTCCAGGTGATAGTGTTCCTCCATTGCCCCCATGCGGCGGCGGTGGTCACCGCGGCCGTCATTGTGGCCACCCGCAACCCCATCGCCAAACGCACCATCATAGTCCATATGGTGCTCATCATCTCCGTCATCGCCGTCACTGCCATCTGCATACTCGTGAAAGCCAAATGCGCCCACACTGTACGAAAACCCTTCGCGATAGTTGTCCATCAAGTCCTCCACCTGCAGTTGGTCGTGGCGCAATTCACCTGGTTGGTCCCGGCCACGCTGTGCCTCGCCAACAACGTGGTGAAAGTGGTCGATGTAATGATGACGGTGCTGCTGCTGCCGCTGCTGCTGCTGGTGGTGGTGGTGCTGCTGCTGTTGACGCTGCGGACGCTGATGCTCATATTGCTGTTGCTGCCCATGTTGCTGCTGGTGATGCCGACTTCTCTCTGGCTCAGCCACATCCTCGCTCCACCACGCCTCATGCCCCTCGCCTTGGTCGCCTTCGCGTTCGCGAGTGCTGCTGTGGGAACTGCGATTTGTTGCGTGCCCGTTCCTCGTTGTCATGACAGAGGCGAAGCGGACCGCGCGTCCACCTCCCTGCCCATCACCAAACATCGCCCGCTCTTCCTCCTCGCTTTCGTCATCGTCAAGGTAGGCCGCGTGGCGGATTTCACGACCTGCACCATCACCATCATCGCGCATGTCACCAGCAGCACTGGCGCGGTGGGTGCGTGCAAACTCACCGCCCTGTTGCTGCTGCTCCTGCTGCTGCTCCTGTTGCTGTTGCTGGGTGAATGTGCGAGCCGCATATTCGGCTTCCAAGCGTCTCAGCTCTCGCAGGCGTTCCTGCACGCGTGCGTCCATTGCGCGGGCAACACCATCGCCGCTGCCACTACCGGCACTGCTGGTGCTGTTGACGTTGGCGCGATGGGGATGGGCTGCTGCAGCCCACATACGCACATGTGCATCTGCCTCCATCTGCTGCTGCTGCTGCTGCTGTTGGAGGTGACGGCGGTGGTGGTAAGGGAGAGCGTTGATGTCGAGTTGCTGCTGCTCCTGTGCCTGTGCCGATGCCTGTTGTCGCTCTTGTTGCTGTGGCCGTTGTTGGTGTTCTTGGTGCTGCGCAAGCACGCGGCGATTCTGCATCAGAGTGGCGACAATATCATGGCGGTCGCGCTGTCGCTGTTCCTGTTGTCGTTCCTGCTGTTGTTGCTGTTGTTGTTGCTGTTGTTGTTGCTGCTGTTGTTGCCGGCGGCGGCGACGGGCAGCAAGGGCGCCGGCAGGCATGACGTGAATGTTCCACACGCCGTGCGTGGAGATGGTGACGTGGAGGCGGACCTGGGCGATGGTGTGGGCACCCACGAGGGTGAGCGGGATGATGGGCAGGAGCGCAAAGAGGCGCTTGGGCGAGTTGTACGTCATCATGGCGCGCAGCGGGATGCGGCAGGTGGTGCTGTAGACGAGACCCCCGTACAGGGCAAGCCCGGACCACAAGCACATGCAGAAGCCGAACATGGCCATGATTGGGGTGGCCTCCGTGCAGAAGCGGCTGCAGAACTTGCCCAGGGACAAGAAGATGCCTGGGCGCGGCAGTTCAATGGCGTAGCGGCGACCACACTGCGGACACAGGAGAGGGGACCGGCCGCCATCGGAAGGCTTGCTGTCGAGCTCGTCCACCCAGCGGAGCAGGCACTCCTCATGCACATGGGCCATAGACCCTTGATTTATGCGTGCGTGCGTGCGTGCGTGTGTGTGTGTGTGTGTGTGTGTGTGTGTGTGTGTGTGTGTGTGTGTGTGTGTGTGTGTGTGTGTGTGTGTGTGTGTGTGAGGGGGCAGGCGCAAAGAAAAGTGGATAAAGGGACGGCTCACGTGCATGCGTGCATGCTTGTGCGTGTGTGCTTGTGGTTCTGGCGGCAAGATACATCAAACAGATATGCTGCAACAAGCAACAGAGAAAACAAAGCGTGTGCCCACACACACAACCACACACACGCGCGCACACATGTACCTTTGCATCCACAAGGAGACACGAGGCGCATGTTGGGCTCCTCCTCCTCCGTCGCTGCAACGGACAACGACAGCAATGACAACAACATGGGTGTGTCACATCGAGAAATGCAAACACAAGCAGAAGGACGTGCATGCAAATGATGTGCATGTACCAAAACCAAAACGCAAGGCAAAAGCAGACGGTAAACAAGGACAACACGATCAGATAGCAGCCAATGTACCGCATGGCTGTGGCACAGCCGTACTTGTGGTGGGACCCACTCACCGAGGCAGATGCGACATTGTCTCGCCATCATCAAGAGGGTGTGGAAGTTGCTGGCTGGCTGGCTGGCTTGGAAATGCAAACACGCAGAACGACACGACAAGGTGTATTTTTTCCACACCGAGGCAGGCGACAGGCGACAGGCGAAGATGGAGAACGCTGCGCCACAGCTGCACAAGCAGGCGGAAGCCCGTGCACCTTGCGCGACTGACTATGACGATGATGTCGTGGACGCCTTTGATGCTCGGGAGGTGTTTGACCTCATTCGAGACATCAACGACCCAGAACACCCACACACCTTGGAGGAGCTCAACGTCGTTCAAATGAGTAAGCTTGGCGTGTTTTGTGTGTGTGTGTGTGTGTGTGTGTGTGTGTGTGTGTGTGTGTGTGTGTGTGCGCGCGCGCATGCGTGTGTGTGTGTGCATATGCGTGTGTGTGTGTGTGTGTGTGTGCATGTGTGTGTGTGCATGCGTGTGTGTACGTGTGTGTGTGTGTGTGCGTGTGAAATGGTGGTATTTGATACAAGATGAGGACAAGCACTGCAAAAGAAAACAGAATAAAAAAACAAAAAAAAAATAGAAGACAGAGTGTAGGAAGTGACGCATATACAATAGATGCGAATCA